CAAAATATTCCTGGTCTTACAAGGAATCCAGCAATGTCAATTGTATTATCCTAACTTTAGTTTGAGGTATTATTTATTAAAATTTAGTGGTTTTCCCCCAAAAATTTCTCTGAGAGGGAAGAGCCGGCAGTGTAGTGTGAGAGTGGGAGGGAGTTGAGTCCATTATTTGAATGGACATTAACTTGGCGACTGTATTTCTCTATTTCTCTTAAGTATTAATTGTGTGCATGTACCATCATAAAATTAAGATGTTATTTTTACTACAACATAGGTATGTGCCTTCAAAAAGTGGAGTTTGGGGGTCGGGCCGGTTTCTATTGGAATTAATCCCATATGTTCTGTTGTTCACTTAACGCGGATTTCACTTAACGCGGGACCCTCTGGGTTCAATTGACCGCGTTAAGTGGGGTACAACTGTATATATATATATATATATATATATATATATATATATATATATATATATATATATATATATATATATATATATATATATATATATATATATATATATATATATATATATATATATATATATATATATATACAGTTAACCCTCACTTTACGCGGTCCCGCATTCCGCGTTTCCACGTTTACGCGGTGCCCTGCCGGAACCCAGGATGCTCACATTCCGCGGTGCGTGTACCCCTTTACGCGGAGAGCGGCTGGCGAGCCGCGCCATTTTTGGATCCAAACCTCCCGCCATCCGCCATGTTGTGTAAGCTGCGCGAACATGGTGCGCACAAGGTCGCCCAGTCATCAAAACATTACCAGTTCTTCACCCGCCACCCACCACAGCCGGCCCAAGTCAGTGATAGTGATAATTATGGTGAGGATATGGACTTATATGGACTTTGGGGAGTTTGACAAAGAGGCCCTGCAAGCCTCTGTGGTGGATAGTGATACAATTGATACAAGTGACACAGGTGAGGGCCAATAATCTGCCCTCTGCCTCGGAACCAACCGCCCATCCCCGTGTGCCCAGCCATTTTTTCTACTAATGTAAGCGTTAAAAAACCTAATATTATTGATATTTCTCTTAATTATTAATTGTGTGTGCATACCATCATAGGCATAGGTCACTGACCCACATTGGGGGCTGAGGGGCAAAAATTTAATACTCCTGTAATAATAATAATAATAATTCAGATAAGTAAAAAAAAAAAAAAAAGCTGCCTATCTACCTATTGGACAAACTAAAATCGTTTCGGACCACGGGAGTTTCCGGACCACAGAATGCTGGACTAAAGAGGTACAACCTGTATAATGAACTATCTAAGGAATGTAAAGAAAAATGTAAGGAAACCAAAGAGAGACTACGAAATCAGGATAGCGAGAGAATCCAAGGCGAATCCCAAGGGATTTTTCCAGGTATTTAGGACTAAGGTCAAGGACAAAGTTGGGCCTTTAAAGTCAGGGAGAGGGGAAGTGATCGATGACAGTGAGGAAATAACCAAAGCATTGAACAGCTACTTTTTATCAGTTTTCACAGAAGAAATTCACGAGGAAATTCCAGCGGTGGAACTGATATTTAGGGGAAATGAAGAAGAGAAATTAAAGAATATCACTATCAGAAAAGAGGATGTTCTTAAGATAAATAAAATAAAGAAGACAAAATCCCCAGGGCCGGATGAAATTTTCCCTCGAGTTTTGAAAGAGTATAAGGAACAGATTAGCGGACCCCTCGTAAATTTATTTACAAAATCATTAGACACGGGAGTTGTGCCAGACTTGTGGAAACAGGCAAATGTAGTACAGGTTGTACCTCTCTAGTCCGGCAACCTCGGGACCTGACCGGTGCTGGACCATGGAAATTGCCGGACCATGGAAATTCACCCTTTTCCTGGATAGATAGTGACTTGTGCTTATGCTTGGAAGCACTAGCACCACTTTCTCTGCATCATGGTCTCTTTGAAGACATATTGAAGGGTTAAATGTCGTATAGTAGCTTCTCAAATTTCGCGAGTTTTTAATTCATAATGTATTTTATTGGAACACACAAAAAAATAAATAAATAAAAATTTTGACGGCGGAAACTTGAATTTCAACGGGTTTGAACGGCCCTCCAACGTGCAGACGACATGCATAATCGTGTAAACAGCGTCATTTCTCTTATGTACAAAAGATTCATTATTGTTTATTACTGAATGTCTTTTTTATTGAATTAATGTTTATGTGTGCAAAATGAGCAATACAATTCATTAATAATACGTAGAATATTAAAACACACGAGGAAATGACACAGCATTGTTTTCGTTGATTACAAAACCAGTGACTGACTGGTTCTACATAACTGAAGAAAATAAGACCTTGGCAGTAGCTGTAGTAAAATTAATATGATTGTTTTAAGTAATGTTACTTAATGTTAATAAATGGAACAATAGAAGTAGCTAACGATAATGGTAAAGAAAAAAGAGAGATCGCATATGTAAGTGCGCATGCGCACATGTGAAAACATATCGTCATTACTTAACATAAGAATATGAAAGCAACACTTATTTACTGCTCATATATATTGAAGGGTTAAATGTTGTACTCTGTATAGACAAGCAGAGAGAGAGAGAGAGAGCAGCCGAACTGCCGGATGTAAACAAACCTTAATTTCCCGCGGCTTTTTTTTTTTTAAGGGGATTAGCCCACCCGGGCTGAGGGCAAAAATTTAATACTCCTGTAATAATAATAATAATAATTCAGATAAGTAAAAAAAAAAAAAAAAAAAGCTGCCTATCTACCTATTGGATAAACTAAAATCGTTCCGGACCACGGGAGTTTCCGGATCACAGAATGCCGGACTAGAGAGGTACAACCTGTACCCATATTCAAAAAGGGAGACAGAGCATCAGCGTCAAACTACCGGCCGATTAGTTTGACGTCAGTCGTGGGAAAATTTCTTGAATCAATTATAGCAAATAGCATTCGATCGCATTTAGAGAAAAGCAAATTAATCTACGACTCTCAACGTGGATTTACAAAGGGAAAATCTTTTCTAACAAATCTGCTGACTTTTTTAGTTAAGTCTTCGAGGTAGTAGATAATGACGATAATTACGATGTTATTTACTTGGACTTTAGCAAAGATTTTGACAGAGTACCACATCAGAGGCTTCTGAGAAAAATTAAGGCTCGTGGTATCGAGGGGAAAGTTTTAAATTGGATAAAATCGTAGCTCACCGATAGAACACAGAGGGTCAGCGTAGGTGGTGTCAAATCTGAGTGGGGCTGTGTAACCAGTGGGGTTCCCCAGGGGTCAGTACTGGGCCCACTCTTGTTTATAATCTATATAAACGATCTAGATACTGGGATCAGCAGTGGCATAAGCAAGTTTGCGGATGACACCAAAATAGGGCGGCAGATTAATTCAGGGCAGGATGCAAATGCACTACAGGAGGATTTAAATAAACTGCAGGAGTGGTCAGAGAAATGGCAAATGAAATTCAACACCAGCAAGTGCAGCGTACTACTTAATATCGGAAGAACAAATACTGTCAACGTATACAACCTTAACAACATCAACCTAGAAAGGTCGACTTATGAAAGAGACTTAAGGGTACGTGTAAGCCCGGACCTACGGCCTAGAAAACAGTGCGTTAATGTTCGAAATAAGGCAAACAGAGTATTAGGTTTTATATCTAGAAGTGTAAGTAATAAAAGTGCAGAGGTCTTATTGCAACTATATCTTGCGTTAGTCAGGCCGCACCTCGATTATGCAGTTCAGTTCTGGTGCCCTTATTATAGAATGGATATCAATTCACTGGAGTCGGTGCAGCAAAGAATGATGAAAATGATTCCGGGACTTATAAACCTTCTATATCAAGATAGGTTAAAGAAACTAAACTTGCATTCCCTAGAAAGACGAAGAGTGCGGGAAGATATGATAAAAGTATTTAAGTGGGTGAAAGGAATCAATTAAGGCGATATAGATAAAGTTCTTATAATATCCGAGCAGGATAGGACTCGTCGCAACGGATTTAAGTTGGATAAGTTTAGGTTTAGGAGGGAGATAGGAAGGAACTGGTTCACAAATAGGGTGGTGGACGAGTGGAACAAGCTTAGTAACATTGTAGTAAGTGCTGGAATGCTGGAGAGTTTTAAAAGGAGGCTAGATAGATTCATGGATGATTGAGAGTGGTAGTAACTCTTGACAGGAGCTGCCATGCACAGGCCAACCGGCCTATTGCAGACTCCTTATTTTCTTATGTTCTTATCATACCTGTCCCTTAATATTTCTTTTAGAATTTGGGGCAAATTCATTCTTTCTTACACTTGCAAGACCCTGAACCCTCAGGTCTAGTGTATAGATGTTGTATTTTGATGAAGGGCCATAAATATCTCATGATACGGTGAAATTACCAGTACAGTATTGTATCACATTTTGAACTCCTTCTGTTTAAAGAAAGTGTAGGTTCACACTGCAGTGTTTGCAATATGATTGTCAGTGCAATATCCAATGTTGCTTCTGGTGTTCCATTTTTTAAAGAATTTCAACCTTTGTATAATGAAGGCTTTTAATAGGATATGAAATCTGAGTTCAGTATTACTCAATAATTGTATATTTAAGTGCACCAAACTCTTCGTCCTACTGTTGATTAGCAAACCCATAAAATCCTTGCTTCACTTCTGTAATAAATATTCTTCTAGTTTTGCTTGTCACATGTTTCATGTTTAGCTCAAAGGAGATGTTTAATTAGTATTATTTTGTGTTTTACAATTCCCCAAGTATCGTCATTTCCCTGAATTACATCTTTGATCTTCCGTAATTCCACGTGAGCAAAAAATTATCAAGGTCTAGTAGAGAATCTTGATAAAAACAGGTTATTATGGCCACACTTCATTAATATTCCCATTATTTGTTGGTACTGTATTAATGTTAATTCTTGTGGAAAATTTAAATTGGCTTTGTAGTTGACTAACATTGGTTTCAAGAAAAGTATTTTACCGTTTTAGCATCATTTATAGATTTATTTTACTTAAAAATTAAAATGTTCATTTTAGTGGTGAATATTGATGCCAAATGATCCTTTATATATTTATTGCAGGAAACAAAGCCTCTATGAAGTGGCTTGGTCACCCATCCATCCAGCTCTCTTCACAACTGTGGATGGTTCAGGTCGAATTGATCTCTGGAACTTAAATCAATATACAGAGGTAATAAATTGATTTACTAATTTTTTACTAGGCTGCACTAAATAAGTTGAAGAAATAAACTGGATTATTGGATAATTAAAACATAAATAATTAAAATACAATTTGATAGAGGTACAAATTGTCAATAGAGTAATGAAAATATAAAAACATTTTTTTTTTCCACTTGATGACAGGTACCAACTGCTAGCACAGTTGTTGAGGGCAGCCCAGCCCTGAACAGAGTGTCTTGGACAAATTCTGGCCAACAAATTGCTGTTGGAGATGACATGGGTAAAATATGGATCTATGATGTTGGAGAGGTAAGGATCCAGTTTATTGAAACTGTACAGGAAGTGTTCTTCATGTGTAGTTCTTTTGATATAACAGTATAGTACACTGTTTTCTCAGGTAGCAGAGAACCAAAGATGTAACATACTGTACTGTGTTTCTTGGAGAAAAAGTTAATTTTCTAATTGGTTATGCTATGGCTACTGAAGCCAACTGCTACACTCTGACAATAGGAGACCTTTTTCATAACTTAATTTCCTTTCAGTGAATGAAGCTGCCACCTTGGTATGCCTTTTTTTTTTAATTTGTTTATTTATTTTATTTTTATAGATGGTAATTAATACTTCACTTCTTTTCAGCAACTGGCCTTACCACGTGCAGATGACTAGTTCATACGATGGGAGACCTGAAGAACAACCAGGCTGACGATGACCAATCTACACGACACTACGACTCATCATTTTCATCACTTACGTCGCTCTCGTCTTCTCCTCTCGGATAAATAGTGAATGTCTATTAGGAACTACAGTATATCCGATAAAATAAACCATTACAACAAATTAATTTTTCAAAGCACGTCTGTCCTTGAACTCCAGAGTATTGCAGGCGGCTTTTGAATTATCTATGTTTCACTAAAATTGAGTAAAGCTTCAAACTGTATGAGGGTAAATGATATAACTACTATATTAAGAAAGATCGATTTTGTTGCAAACTATAAAACGATAAAATGGTCATTGGGAGTTTAGTTTGTGTTTTTACGTAAAGATTTACTTTACGTGTGAGTCTCATCAATTGTAAGGTAGCCAAATGAGCTCATCATCGCTGAACTCCTTTCTTGTTAGAGGATTATTTATTTGCCAAAGTGATTTATTATTGTTGTATATATAAATTAAAATTATATTAAGCTCTGTAAAATAATTTATTTACCAATACACTTTCATCTTTTTAACCCCAATGTATGTAGAGAAAGCCTTAAGAGGCAGTTGCTTAAAAAAAACAAACAAGAAAAACTTGAGAGCATGTAAGTTAGGGTCTGCAGGAAGGAAGGTTTAATAGAGTGGCTGAGAAAGTTTAAGCATGGGCTAAAAGATTTAAGTGGGAATTTTAATCCTCCCTCTTATAAAACATCATCAAACTGTAATGTTACCAGAATAATTTAAACAACCCAAAGATACTGTGATAGCAGAATAATTAAAAACCTCTAAAAAAGTGTTACCAGAGAAATTAAAAAAATCATTATATACTGTAACCTGTAAGTGTTGTTTATACAGGCAGTACAGTAAAATTTCTATTTAATGGACACCAATCTAACAAATACTACATCAAAGGGTTTCAAAAAATTCAAAGCAAAAGTTCTGTACAAATTAATACCATAATGTCCAGCCTTGAACAGTAGTGAAACAAAGACACCAATAAATTTACATGCATTTTGTGAAATGGCCCAAATATCCCTACATAACTGGTCTTGTTGCCCCACTCAGGAAAGTTTCCATATTTGCCACACTGGTGCAACATGCAGTAAGGCATGTTGGATGAATTAATAATACTGTACAGTAATCACCCAATCTGTGCTAAGTTGTGATTTATGAACTGGTAGAATGTTACCTCATGTCAAAGTATCATCAACGCTGAAGATTTTACACCAGTGGGTAGCCAGCATTAGTAGCTATCCCGCACTGGTTGTTTCGGTTGCGAGCAATCTTAATGTAGCCGTGGTCTCCCCAGTAAGGACTCCAGGAGTTTTTCACGATCCAGTACTCGCGGCCCCAGTCAGAACCATAGCCCACCACCAGTGCCCCGTGGGTAAGGCGTGTTGATGAGCACTGAGGGTCATAGTACACACCTGGGAGATGGAGAAGACTTAAGATTTTATTTGTGTTATGCGAGAACTACCATACATCACTGCTGGAATGTAAAATATACTGTTTATTACCCTGAAGACTTAAACTCTACTGTACCAATATTAAAAAATAACTATATCCATTCAAACTATTGCATCTTTCTGAGGAAAATAAAATTCTTTATTCCTATCCAGGTTCAGTACTATACAGTTAAACCCCTTCACTATGGGGACACCACTTTTAATAATTTATTCGGCTAATGCCAGATTATTTTATTCAGCACACAAAGACCCTGTCCACTAGAGGTTAAAAGAAAAGTAGAAATGATGATGTCTGTAGTGCCTCACTCCCCTAGAGACACGGAGGATATGAGGCGATCTGAGTCAGAAGGGGGTGAAGTGACATCCCGCCAAAATACCTTTTTTGGTGGATATCACCATTTTCACCCTTCCTCTACATGTTGGAGTTGGATGTAACCCCCCTTTTTTTTTTTTTTTTTTTTTTAAATTGGCCTCAGCCTCCCCCAATAGCCACACCTTCGCCACCATTTATTTACCTTAATATTAAATATCCTAATACATAAGAAGCTATCCTATCTGTGTTAAATTAGTTGAGCCGCAGATCTATGCGGCATTCAGTTACTGTAGCCTCATAGTCAATATCTGCAGCAGTTGTCGGAGTAGGGGCAGAAGCTCTCGTTCCCCTGAGGCAGAGCAAAGCCGACCGAAGGAGAGAGAAGGACAGTCGACATCTCATCCAGGCTTTAACATAACTTCTGGGCTGCTGCTTCTGTTCGGAGATCAACTCCGCGAGTCTGGCATAGAAACATCTTGCACTTGGGCCCATCCCACCAGAGGTTGTGACCCTGGGATGTAACCCTCTAGCTAGAATAGCAATATGGTAGAAAGTCCTTCAAAAATAAGGTGTAATTTTGCCTTAGGCCTGGAGCTATGCATCTGGCTGTGTGTTCAGTTCCAAAAAGTGGCAACATCCCGTTCAGAGCGAGAGGAGCGCGAGCCAATGACAGCACGCCTCCCTCGGACCATACCCCCGGAGGCAGCCAATCGCATTGGATTTCCCCTTACTACGTCACAGCTCCTCGGCCAATCTGCGCACCTAAGATGCTGCCTCTTCCTTAGTTTTGGCATGTATTTTAGCATCAGGTGGTTAAGTGTACGTTTTACTGCTATTTTGTATAACTTTTCGGCGTAACATTGACGTTATTCGTGTTCCACGGGTGTGATGAGTGGTGCAATATCTGCCCGACATTAGAGCAAGGCTCGAGTGAGGCCAGGCCTTCTGGTGTGGGTTCAGGAGCCCATTATTCCTGAGCGTGTGTTTGACGACAGTGCTCACGTGGACACCCCAGTAATGCTTGGTGATAGTGATTTTGGTGGTGAATTTAGTGTTGATTATGGTGATACAAGTGATACTGGCAATGGTGCAGGCGACATGCATGAGAATGTTGGTGATGAACTACTTGGTGATGTTGGGGAGCCTAGTGTTGGTGGATGTGGTGGTGGAGCACCACGTAATGCAGATTGCAGGGGTTAGGAGCGTACCCCCCAAGGCCCTATAGAAAAAAAGGCAGGATCAGAGAGCGTAGGGTTGATGAGTGGGCAAAGGAGGTTGCCAAGCATAAACAGAATTTGGGTGAGGAATATGTAAGTTACACCAAGAAAGTAGTCAAGGCGAGGCAGGTCGGCCCTCCCTGACCAGACATCTGCTTCGACAAGCTTGGCTGGGATAACATAGACACCATTTTCACCAATTTCTGGGCAATTGGGGACTATAGCACCCAGAATGGCTACCTGCAAGCACTCATCGGGAACGTGCCCATGAAGAGAAAGCGGACTGAAGCTGAAGTGAGCCGTAGGCCTTTTAACTACCATTTTTTTGTGAAGCTTCGGCAGCACGAATTTAAGGTCTGCCGCCAAGGTTTCTCTTCTGTTCACAGGCTTGGCAAGAGGATGGAGGTCCTGATGCATAAAAGGAAGGAATCACCAAGTGGAACTCCCATTTCTGACAAGCGAGGACATCATCCATCCACCGGGGCCATCACAGGGAACCGCCTGCGACATGTGCACGAGCACATTCGTGTCCTGCCAGTGCTCGTTAGCCATTACAGCCGTGCACACAGGTGGTACCTGGAAGCCGGGGACAGCATCACCGAACTCCATAGCATGTAACCTTATGTGGATGAGCGAACATTATCCTGATGAAGAGACTTCTCCGAGAGTTTTTACCACAGTGTTCACGAGGGACTACAACATCGTGTTCCATGCCCCTCTCACCGACGTCTGCAACACCTGTGAGAAGCTGGAGACCCAGATCTTTTCCCTCCAGAAGGATGGTCAGGACACTCGCGATGTGAGGAACACCCTGAGGGAGGACAAGGCCATCGCACAGGTGCCTCGGGACCTTCTTCACCAGGCGGAGCAGGGTGACCCTGGGAATGGTGTTGTCAAGACGGTGGCCATCGACCTGCAGCAGACCCTTCCTTGCCCCCATCTACGTGCAAGCAATGCCTGCTATAAGCGAAAGTTGTGAGTGTACAACTTTTGTGTGTACGACATGGACAAGCGGGAGGCTAGCATGTTTGTTTGGGACGAGGCAACAGGAGGCGGGGGGGGCAGACGAGATAGCTAGCTGTCTGCTGAAGTGGCTGAAGGTGAGGAAGGATGACCGTGGGGAGGCCTTTACCTGGCTACAGGTCATCTGTGATAACTACAGTGGCCAGAACAAAACCATTTTCATGATTCTCATGGCCCTACAGCAAGTACAGTACATGTCGCACGCCTCGCCAGGGTCGACTTCATCTTCATGAAGAGCGATCACTCGTACCTCCCTTGTGACAGGACCTTCGGCAGCATTGAAAAGAAACTGAGGAAGACGTCCCACATCTACAGTCCCTTGCAGTACATCCTCATCATTGGCAAAGCAGTCAAGAAGGGTTTCTCCGTTATTGTCATGCAGAGGGAGGACTTCTTGGACGTGCGAGCCCTCCTCAACTATGCCACTAAGTGACCAGCACCCGGCTTCGCCCAGGTCTGCCAGCTTGATGTAGACGGGGTTTCCTGAAGGATTCATCATCAAGATGAACTATTGCCCGGCTGATGTGGAGGGAAACATCATCAAGGTCCAAGGTCCGCTTGATGAAGCGGAGATGACGCTGGGTGAAGGAGAAGTTTGACCTCTCTTGGGTAGTACCCTCGCCTAGGTACCTACACAACAGGCTGCTGGCACCAGAGAAGGTCAATGACCTTAGGAGTCTCCTGAGCCTTCTGGAGGGTAGAGCCCAGGAATGGCTCCAAGACTTGATAGCCAGGCACGACGACCTCAGAGTGGCAGGTGAGGTTCAGCAACATGAGGAGTTGGTCGACGATCCTGACGACACAGCTCTTGATTACGTGACCCTGGGTGCTCCGGGAATGTAGTTACACCCCTCACACCCCACCTACCTGCAACGTTGATGACCTGGACTGTTAAGGAATACGGCTACAGGACTACTCTCTAAGGATTTAATGATGCTACCTTCTCTGCTGTTTGGTGAGTGTTACTATTTTTTTTTATGTTGTCTGAATCATCTATTAATTATCAAACTTATTTTTCTTCCAGAATGACATACATTCTTCATTTGACTTAATATTAATGAGTTTGTTATAGGTTGCAGTATATTTTTATGTTTGTAATTAATTTGGTACAACTGTAAACTAATAATGTGTTTATGGGTAAGTGCAAGGCTACTACGCAGAGACTTTTAATGAAAAACAGTCATGCTGTTGAATCAGCACGTCCTCCCGTGCAACACCCTCAGTGCTAGCAATGTGAAGTTGGTGTATGGTTGTGTGTGTCATGATGCCTTGAGTGTGATTGCAAAAGATAATTTTCTTTGACATTACTGTACCTTCCATTGCAATGTCTGGCAGTCAACCTAGTACTAGCAGTACTGTCCTTAAACGTGAGTACGTACAGGAAAGTGACGCACATGCTGCTTCATACATCCCCTTTATAAAACATAGGTTTGTGAGACAGTGATGAAACAGATATAGATAATGAGCCACAACAGGATGAAAGTGAGTCTCTTAATGACAGTAAAACTGTGATTGCAGAAAAAACCCATACATCACGTTATGAACCATCGGAAGATCTTTTAAGAGACTATGATGACTTCCCTGTCGACAATGAAAGTGACTCACAGTATGACTAAAGTGATTATCATAATGACAATAACACTTTGAACGCACAGAATAACTTTTTAGCGTGCTACAAAGCATCCAAAGATCTTTTTGCCGACTATGACGAGTTAAAAGACAATGTGGCTTGCATTGACGATGATAATGACGTTGAAAGTGGGCTTGAAATAGATGAAACTGAGTACAGGGTATACTCATAATACAAAAAGTAACTGCTATGCATCACAAGACCCTTTTGGAGACTGTGATCCGGTACAGTTACGCGACATGCACTGACGGCAATAATGACTATGAAAGTAAAGATAAAAATGATGAAAGCGAGTCTAATGGTAACACAAACAGTGACACTAATGTATCACAACAAGACCATACAGACTGTGACGAGGTAGAAGTGAACAGTGACGAGACATGCATTGACCTTGAAGGTGAGCCTGACCCGACGAATGCTAGTGAAAGTAAGCCCATACCTCAGTCTTATAATGAAACTGAACTGTTGCCGGCATCAATAATCAATGATTTAGTTGATGAAAAATCTGTGTGGCGATTTTTAGAAAGGGCAGAGAAAGACTTTGATCAGTACGAAATTGATTATGACAAGGCCACTAAAGTTATACGCACTCCTCAGGATTTACATAACTTCAAGTTGCTACGATCTTCATGGATAATAAAACGAAGGAACTAAACAAAGTAAGATTGTAATACTATTGTCATAATACTGTTTTTACCAAAGATTATGCAAACTTTCTCCGCCTTTGTATTCGTATGTTAATTACTGTACGTTCGGTGTGGGGAGGGGAGGTTAATGGTAGGAGGGATGAGTTTAGTGGCGTTTCCTTATTATTACACACTATTCTACTTAACAATATTATAAATCTTTGGCTAATAATAGGGATGGAAAGATAAATATTGATAGGCAAATTAATTTTCTATTATTTAATTTTTTGGGAGTTTGGGGTGGTTTATGGGGAGGGGGGGTGTAATACGAGTGCTGTTTTTTTATGATCCTTAACTTGTTTTACAGTATTAGCCCACAATAATAATAAAATTTTGCAAAAAAACTCAATTATTGTTGGTTTGAAGCTCAAACAACTGTACATCACGGGTAGTTATTCTCATTCAACTCACGATAAAATAATAACTATTCACAGTACTAACTTCCAGTTTCCACAGTTCGCTAGGAGCAGGATTGAGTTGCACGATAAAAAAAAATGAATCCTCTAGCTTAAAAAACAAAAAAAGCTATGGTTGTTTGCATTCTACTACTATTTTCCAATTTCCTCGCTTTTTTTTCTTGCACTATCCACCAACCCCAAGTCCCTCCAAATTCCACCAGTATTCTTCAAGTCCAGTTCCCGCACCACCAATCTACGCACCAGCATCAAGATTTCTTCATACTTTACTTCACCCATCGATCGATCGATATGGCCACTATAGAAGAGCCTCCAGGCCACCATGTCACTACTTATTTCTTTAGCCCTCTATATTCTCTTTCTCCTCCTCTGTTCTCTCCTTTATTTATTGAAATACTCTAAAGACAACTTCATCACTATCATTATTTAGGACTATTTTCAATACAACCTCATAGCATTAAATTAATGATTGTAGTATAATACGATAATTAAACATACATGGGTTCCCTGGATAATATACTAGTGTTGCCTACCGTGGGTGTAGTAATGAAGGGATGGGAGGGAGGCATCGATGGCTACTGACACAGGACCAATATTGGCTACAGCAGCCTTCAGAGCCATCTCATCACCAGTTGGGATACTCACGTACCCCAAGGCCTTGGCCACAGCCATAACTGGGTTGTAGCGACACACATTATTCTGCAAGGGAATGAATTTTGGTTATTTCAAGAGTTATTAATTTGGGATCAATTATTTGTTTTTATAGATTGTATCAGTGATACGTTCTGGTGGTGGTGTGAATATGTTCTGATGATGTTAGATAATGGTGAATATGTACTGACAATAAACAGGTCCTTATGAAAAGATGCCCTTAAAATTATCCTTTAAATTATTTATCTTGATATTATTACCATTGATCTTTAATGCATTTTAATAATTATGACTAATCTAAAAAAATCAAGTCTTTTTTTTAATAGAAATATAATGGTTGCTTGAAGAGAAGAATCCGATGACATCTTTGTTTGTTCATAATACTGTACTGTACGGTGAGTGGATGTTTGGGCCACAAGTAAGACTATGTTAGGTTAGATTAGGTCCTATTTGTACTGTAGAGATCATTACTTACTCTGGCCTCATAAGGGTAGTAACTCTCACTGTCAATGCCATTATTTTGCATGATGTATGTAAAAGCGTAGTCCATACGTCCACCCTGGCATCCTTGACACAGATGGCAGCAGTCTATGAGGTTCTGCTCCGAGATGTTGAGCAGACGACTCCATCGGCGGAAATGCTGACCCTCAAGTGACCCGGTCTGGTTGGGGGGAGGGATGTCTCCTTAGGATAATTATTAACAAACAATGAACTGTAGAGATATCACAACAGCCCCCAATCCTAGAAGAAAATATCCCCCCAAAGAAATGAGGCTTTAGTAAAAGTGCCTGTAGTGTATAGTACCCTTTGGAAGTTTCACTCACTGTTGAGAATGCCCAGCCTGAAGAACACTGCCCCTGATTCTTGACTCCAGTTACAGCACCCTTCTTGCGCCAGTCAACTGAGGAGGGCAGCAGCACATCGTCATCGGGAGGAATATAGATGGCAGTTATGTCTTGGACGCCATTTTTGGTGTCCATTTCAGTGAAGCCAGTCATAGAAGAGATAATTTCTTGCCTCAGCTGTTGAATAAATTGGGTTTTAGGAGTTTTAACTGATCTGATCAATAACAAAGGAAGTGAAGGTACATTGAAATGCCAAGGTAAGGTGAAAGAGAAAGACATAATATATACAATAAAAGTCCAAAAATCCGGATGCCAGAAATCCGGACCACCCGAGAATCCGGACTTTTCGAAAACTCAAACTTTTTTTTTTAGCTGGCTTTTGTGTGTATGTGCGCATGCGTGAGTGCCACAGCCGCACAGCAACAACAAGCAACCACGCGGTCGCCACTTTAAAATGAGCAATCAAACTGTGACAACGTATGTAATTTTGAGTCCTACTCTTTCCATTTACAGAGTACTGTACAAGCCCATAATAATGGCTCCTAAAGTAGATAAACTTCGTTGTGTGAAGAGAAAGAAGAACACGTTGAAATTGAGTGACAAACTTGAAATAATTAAGAAACTAGAACGTGGTGTGAGCAATACTGTTCTAATGGAAACATACGACATTGGAAAGTCTACAATTTATAATATAAAAAAGGCAAAGAATAAAATTCTAGAATTCACAGCTTTTTCCTTAAAACTGCTCGTTTTGATAAATGAAGCATGCTATATTTGCTAATGAATAAACTATCAAAATGTACCTGTTCATCTCCTCTTTATTCCCCCTTAAATTTAAATTTTAAAAGTACTGCCTGAGAATCCGGAAAATCCGGACCGACCCAATCCCCAAGCAGTCCGGATTTTTGGACCTCTACTGTACACATATATAAAGAGCCCCATAGATATAAATTAATAAACATAATATATGAATAAAGGCATGAACTGTATGAGAAAAGCTGACTTACCATGTCTCCTAGGTGGTTAAGTTTGAGTTTGAAGGAAGTCATATTCTGGGCAAAATGTTTGTTGTGTTCCAGAACCTTGTGTTTGTTATCCATGAAAATCTTCATGCGGAATTGTTCCTCCACATCAGTGTTGTACTGCTTGTTGTACTCCAGCTGCAGGAACAAACGGAATGAACAGACAAATCAAACTTGTGTATCACTGTGACAAACTGGTGGGGGATAAAAGACATGGTAGGGAATATGACAAAATTGTGTGCCTGGCAGACAAGACACACACAAAACTATGTGATAGAAAACACAGATTGAGAACTATGACAGACATATAAGATGGGGCAAATTGTGTTAAAAAAAAAATATTAAAGTAGACAAATGTGTAACACGTGAAAATCCTATAAGTACACACAACATGAAGTCTTAACCTTGCTCTAAACATGCTCACTTTACCTCAGATTTTTCCATGTTTAGTTCAATTTCAGTTCCCCAATTGATTTACTGGTGAGGAACAACAAATACTCAGTGTCTTTGACTTCCACTTACACATTCACTTACCAAATTTCATTTTTGCAGGTTTTAGTGTAATGATGAAACATTTAAGTTACAATAATAACACAAGTATGCTCTTCAAACCTTTCTGATCTAGCCATGAGATGCAGAGAAAATATGCACCTGTACCTGTACTGGGATTAATGAAACAGTTCAGACTGCTGTACAGTATACTGCACCTATATTGAAATTATCTTGATATATGTAAAATGTTATATTATACATACAGTATATATAATAGAACTTGGGATCACCTGAAGCATAGCCCCCAAGCTTATTTTACCTGATTAATAAACACCTCAACACTATCAGAAGGGTTAGGTTAAGTCTTTGAGGGTTCTTAATAAGCTGGGGACTAAACTTTAGTTGATCCAGAAATTGTTTGTAAATACAGTACTGTAGTGTACTATACTGGACAGTTGCGGAAATGTGTTCCTACACCCCCTGTGGTAACCCGTGTCTCCAAACGGCCAACCTATATGACGTACTGTATAGCAAACCTATACACCAATCATGTCCGTCGTTACAAGACCAATACCCATTCATTCATAAATAGTAATACTGTTACTGCGACATTGCTGTTTGGAGAAGCGGGTTACCACGGGGGATGTAGGAACACATTTCTGCATCTGTAATTGTTTTTACATAAAAATGTACACTATAGGTTAATCAGGATTACACAAAATAATTGCGATATCAGTCCAATCTGTTCTCACCTTTCATCAAATTAAAAACTAAGAAAAACTCAAAAGTGGTCATTGCTCACCTTAAACAGTTCCCACTCATCATGCACCAGGGAGGTTATGGAGGCTGCTGTAGCTCCCATCACCATCACTGCTGCCACCACTAATGTTGTTGATCGCCACATCTGTTTAAATTAACTTTAGTTCAGTATCCAGTCTACATAAAATACTATACAGGGGCAAATACGTTATCATACCTTGTACTGATGGGTTAGACTCGGTCAAAGCTTATACTGTATAATAACTTGATTTGACTGGTGGACCATACAAAAAAAAAATCATTGGGTTAGGTTAGGCTGGGTGACTTTTTTGTGTGGGCCATTTTACATATAATTTGACAATTGTGCCATTTTTTCTATATTATTTATTTTTTTAAACCTTACACACAACCTGTTCATGCTCCCCTTCCTCACACCCACAAAATTAGGGTATACTGTACGCTACTACTAGGTGAGGTCCCCCTCTAACCCCCCCCTTCAAGATTGGCGCGTGAATCCTCCCCTGGCAGTCAAATTACCGGGAGTGAATTTAATGGTCACCGAATAGATGTAGGCATGTTGCTAAAAGTTGAATTGAACATCTGTAGCATTAACACAGGTACAGAGAGGGCATAGCAGTTCACATGACTTCCTTTATGGCTTATCAAGTTATCATCCCCACCTTGATAAGAACTTAACTAGTTGCCTAGAGACAGACCAGTGGAGTAAGTGGCTTATCATGTTTTCTGGACAAAGAATATAATGCAGTCTTGTTTACTCACTGACCAAGGGCGGATCCAGGAGGGTCCGCACCCCCCTTTCTCCAGAAAATTTCAATTCTTTTTCTTTAATGCAGTATTGGGATCACCTAAAGAATCGTCACCCCAGAATTTGGCAGGGTGACAATTCTTCAGATGGGACAACGTGGGGTGACGATTCTTCAGGTGGCAAAATCTGCAGTGACCATTCTTCAGGTGGGGTCAGGACCCTCCATGGTGGTTAACCTTCAGGCCTAACCTAACCTAACTTACTCATTGTAATATGCATCGTGTATTTTGGAATATTGAGTAAAGTATTTTGCAATATTATCTATATTATGAAGTGGGGTGATGATTTTTCAGGTGGAGCGGGCTGGGGTGGTGATTCTTTAGGTGGAGTGGGCTGGGGTG